GGGGGGGGGGGGGGGGGGAGAGACGGGAGAGTTTTCCCAAACCAAACATTGTTTTTAGGAATGTTTTAATTTGATACTTTCTTAACTCAACCTGTATTTTTCAAGGTAATCTGAATAATAAAAAAAAAAAGTCTCCATTTTATTTATTAATAAAGAAGTCCTACGATATCTACATAAATGAAGATAGCATGTTCACATAAATTTAATATATACATAGAGCACAAATCGACATAAAAAATAAAGAGGAGATCTACTTAAACCGTTCAACATCATTTAGCTACCAAAACGGTAGCGAACATATCACAATACAATTATGTTATAATTAATTAATTAAAGTATATATTTTGGCCAAAAAAAAAATTTTTGTTTTAAGTATTGATGGCAAAGAGCCGGCTCTGTGGCAGTCTCCAAGCGGCTTTGTTGTGTAGCCACTGTTCTCCTTGTCATTTTCGTTGCTCTTTTTGTTTATGCAATTGCCTTTTTTTTTTTTTGACAATAAAAAATGATTAGGTAAATATTAATATCTGTTGTGATGTGAGAGCGACGAATCTCAAAAATAAGTGCAGCCCACCTGCTACCCAAAGGACAGCGTGACCACCGCTGGACCACATGGGGGTATGCTGCAATTGCTATCAATTTAAGTCTATATATTCATCAGGTTAATTAATTAATTTTTTTTTTTACAAATTCAGCCCTAATTTGTTCCTAATAATCAACCGTGGGTACATTTGTTGTGTTTTCAATTTTCATTTTTTCTGCTCTTTTCCCATCTAAGGAAAGTGGTTGCCCCTGGCCTTACTGGAGAGGGCATCCTAGTTTCATAAGTTGAAACCCATGCCAGCTCAACTCAACATTTCGCCATTCTCTTAATTAATTAACTTAAAAATGCCTTTTAAATAAGAAATTCAATTTTTTATTCTTTTAATTTATCATGTCAAATCATGAATTTAAAATTTAGAGATACAAGATTAACAAGTCTTCAAGTCACTTTAGGAAAAATATTATATAGTTTAAATTATTATAAATTATACAATTTTAATCATTAAATAGATAAGATACTTAATAATATTAAAGATTTTTTTATTTAATAATTTTTATTTTAAAATTTGAACGTAATTTAAATTTCATTGCCTTATTTATAAAAAAAAAAAAGACTTTTTATTACCAAAATAATCTATAATTTATTATTGAAATCAAAGTAATGAGTGACCTAGGATAATATAATAATTTACATTCTAGTGCCGGTGAGGAGAGGTTTAGGAATAGTCCATCCTAATCATCAAATGAAAAAGTGAAAAAAAGCTAAAAGTCAAATCTTTATATACAGTGATTTTTTTATTTGCATCCTTCTATAAAATCTTTTTTTTTTATTATTATTATTATATTAATGTATGTCATGTTTAATTTTTTAAAACTATTAAAGTCCCAATCTTTAAATTACATCATCTCATTTAATAATTAAATTTCAATCCTAAATTTCAATCTCCGTTCCTCACCGGCAGCAACAATGGCAACCCTTCATCTCAACTCAACAATTCAACCCTTTTGCAAACTCTCATCCTCAACGATTCTCTCTTTCAGCAACACCAAGGGAGCAAAATCACTCTATTCCAACAACCCTTAAGTACAAAGCATTAACATATTTTGTCTGATAGTGGAGAATTAGCATTTATCTTTCTTAATTCCGTCCTTATAGTCATCGGCAAAAAGCCAAAAACTTGCAAAAGGGTGAAATAGAGTAAAAATAAATGTTTAATTAAATAAATGACGCAATTTAAGTGTTGAAATGCTAATATCTTTTCAGAATTAAAACTAATTAATGTGTTTTATTATTATTATTATTGTTATTGTTATTATTATTATTATCATTGTTATTATTATCCATTTTTTTAATTTCATTAACATCCTTCATTAAACAACTTTGTTAATGCTACATCATCAACCAAGAAGCATGCCATATATAAAAAAATATAAAATATTTTTCTACATGCAAGTGAGGGGAATTTTATCTAGCATTTGAAATAATAAACCTACTAATTTCACAAAGGCTTTCCATCGAACACTGTTGATATACACCACAAAAAAAATGAAAATTCAACATACAAGTGGGGAAATTTTGGTTCCCCTGAAAAAGATGGTACTAGCAATTAGATTTCGTTTTTAGACATGGGCATTGACATATGGTGCATGTGTCAGAGATGGGGGGGTTTGTGCTTGGATGGTCCTAACTAACCTAAAGCCTAGCAACCGTATCAAACGCTGGTATTCCCTGAATTGTCGGCACCATTGCCACACTTTGCGGCGTTTGCCTAAATTTTCAGCTCACTTCAATAAGGGACTGGTTTGGTGTCTCTCACTGTCAAATCATTAAGAGAACTGCTAAGGGTATCCGTCACTTATTTGCCTTGCGTGATGAAATTTTTAAAACCCCCTTATTAGGCTCAGTGTTGATTTTTTTCTTTAGAAAATATATATAGATCGAGTGCGTGACGAGTGCATTTCTCAACCATTAATTCTCCGTTCTTCCCAAAATGTCTGTCGGTGTGTTACTTTGTTTCACTGTTAAAAAAAATCACAATTATCAACGAGGGGTTGGATCAAGTGGTAAGCGGCTTGTTTCAGTTTAAGTAAGATCTCGAATTCGAGCCTTTGTGTATGCAGCAGCCTTCCGCTGGGAGACTCACCCACCATTTCCAGGTGCGCGACGCGGGTCGGGTCCGAATTAATCGAGGCGAAACCTCGAATACCGGGCGATAAACCAAAAAAAAAAAATTAATACAATTTCATAGCAAAACAATTAAATAACAATTTTTTAATTGTATAATAATTTTTTTTAATTCATTTCATTTTCATGTCATACAACTCAAAAATCAAATTATATTATTTTTAATAAAAAAATATTATCACTAAATTATTTAAATAATAAATAAATAAACAAATATTGAAAACCAAAATTTACAACTAAAAAAATTGTAACTGACATTATTTTTTTTATACGCTGGAACGGACAAATATATGCGTCCTTCAAAAAATAGATTTTTGGAGTTTGGAAGCGAATTTGTATGGTTTTATCAAAATACCAGTATTCTTATAAATACGAACAGTAATTAAATAGAATATTTATTGGACTTAAAAACATAATAAGAAATGTCAAAAAATTTTACAGTAAAAAAATGTTGTAGATAACTAAATCTATACAAATAAATTAATAGTTCCCAATTCCACGTATTAGTATAATATAATTTCATTTTTACTAGTAAAAATGTTTTATGCGATAGTAATAAAACATTCAATCTAAAATTAATTAATTATATTATATTTAAGTATAGAGTTTTTCTTTTCGTAATTTTATGTGTTGTAAAATTCTCTCACCTTTAACATGCCTGGTTTCTAGGCTAACAACGAAACGAAGCATAATCCGAACGGCATAGATCCAGAAAAAAGTGGATCCTGCACGTGCATCTGAGCTCATGCCATGCCTTGATTGAGAGATTAGGCCTTAAAGTGAGTGCAAACTGCAAACACCAAACTTGAAAAACGATATCCGCATGGAAAACGAAAAAATGAGACACACCATGAAATATGCATGAAAAATGAAAAAAGAAAACTAATTACAAAAAATAAGGCAGAGAGAATCAACCTAGAAGTTTTTGAATTCTTTTTTTTTTTAATCTATTTTTTTAAACAACCATAATTTAATATATGGCATGATCATGGGTTATGGTCATAAAAACATTTGTTAAAGCCATGTAAAAATATTTTAAGCGTATTTGGATTGATTTGATAATTGTAATGATAATTAATAGTTTATTAGACTAGCCATATATATTAATTATGGTTTAAATTTAATTTATATATTGATATTTTTAAGTATTTATATATAAGAAATGTTATTGGGATAATTATTTTGTTTCATATTTTTATATAACCTGACGTGTCATTAAAATGATTGATTTTTTTAATTTATGTAGGACTCATAATATTAAATATATCCACTCATTTAATGACATGTAAAAATTATATTAAAAATGAGATAAAAAATCATCTCAATAACACCACCCTTATATATTAATACAATTAATCAAATCAAATAAATTTCAACAAAGATTTTTTAATTCAATGATTTACCCATAAATCTTAATATATAAATTAAATTGATGGAGAATTCAGTTCCATCAATCACTTAAAAAAATTTCCTCTCACCCATAATTGCCCCCCATGTTCACAAAAAAAAAAAAATAAATAAATCAAACAAATTTAAATTATTTTTGTGTGCACTTAACAAATGCGTCTGTTTGGAACTGTGGATAACTATGGCCGGGTCATGGTTAAGCTCGGATGTGTTGATGAGGGACTTATGAGGAAAAATAGTAAAGCTTAGGGACTTAAATTATGGTTTTGTTCTTTGTTCTTTCTAACGCGTCAAAAACTCAATTCCCGAAGTTGAAATCTCGAAACAAAAGCAGTAGACTTTGAAGTTGAAAAACCCCAGATGAGATCATAGAGCATTCAATCATGGAAGAAGTCGGAGAAAATGAAGCAACCCCTCTCCACTTCAATGCAGAGAACCAAGTAAGACGGAATTCAAAGGACGGGTTTTTTCTGGGTTTGATTTTAAGGCCGTTTCATTGGTTCAAATTGCTCGCTGAGCAGTTGCATTGGAGCTTTGTGCTAGGAGTGGTGGTTGTGTATGGAATCAGTCAAGGTCTGGGTGTGGGTCTGAGTAGGGTCAGCACACAGTACTATATGAAAGATGAACAGAAGGTGCAGCCTTCTCAAGCTCAGGTTCTGATTGGTATAATTCACATTCCTTGGATTGTAAAGCCTCTCTGGGGTCTCCTCACTGACACGGTTCCAGTTCTAGGCTACCGTAGGCGGCCCTATTTCATTTTCGCTGGTAAGTTCAGCTCTCGCTGCTCTAATTTTTCCTTAATTATGGGGTTTTGGTGGTTTATATTGGTCATGTAATCTGTTTCTGTTTTGAGTTTTTATTTACAAATACTATGATGTTAGGTAGAGTTTTGCTTTGGTATAGGGAAGGGAAAAACTTGATTGTAATTTGATTGAGGTTTTATAGTACTCCAATAAAAGATGCAATTTTGTGACAAAAATACATTTATCACTGATTCCAGGAGTTCTTAGCGTCATATCCATGCTCATGCTGTCATTGCACAGGAATTTGCGTCTTGCATTTGCCTTGTTGTATCTGATAGCAGGGAGTGCTGGCATTGCGATTGCAGATGTGGCAATTGATGCTTGTGTCACTCAGCATACAATAAACCATCCTTCCCTTGCTGGTGATATGCAGAGCTTGTGTGGATTGAGCTCTTCTATTGGAGCATTTGTGGGATTCTCTCTTAGTGGCTTTTTTGTTCACCTAGTCGGACCTAAGGTTGGCCTTCTGTTCAAGTTCTTCCATAGTTTTAGATTTTGGTATCCTAGGCCTGTAAGTTATGCAATCCAATAATCTTGGCGAAATCCTATTCTGATCAACTTCTTTATATGACTATTTTCTCTTAGATGTTAATTTTTAACTTTTCCAATGAGTTAAACATACAAATACTATAGAATAGTACTATAGTTCAGATATAATTTGAGGTCACTCATGGTTCATAAAAATTTTCTTCTGCTTCAAGAGAATGTGAATCCATATCCAGTTGTATTACAGGAAAGAAATTTGATGTAAGCACTGTTTTGGTTACTAATGGAGTTTATATGTCCAACAAAATTTATTTTAGCACTGTTCAACAGGATTCAACATATCCATTTCCTTCTTAAGTCTTACTTGTCAAGCCAAAGGTTCTAAACTTGCTCTTTCCTGACAGGGTGTGTTTGGATTGCTTAGTTTCCCAGCAGGACTTGTGGTTGTGATTGGGATGATGTTAAGAGAATCTCCAGCACGCAACTTTGCTTACAGAAAGGTAAGTTTTTTCTGTACTCAATTTTGAGTGTGTGTGTGTTTGTGTCTCATTTTTATCTGCTTGGATCTAAACTTTTTATAATCAGGTAAAGGAGAAGTTTGTAGATGCTAGTAAGGCTGCATGGGCAACCCTAAAATGCCGGGATGTGTGGAGACCATGTTTGTACATGTACTTGTCTCTTGCCCTAGGCTTGCACATCCACGAAGGAATGTTCTATTGGTATACAGATGCAAAGAATGGTCCATTGTTCTCACAGGTAGCATCATGACCTCTCTTTTTCAAACATTCCTCTACATGTTTACAAAAGTTCTTCTTCTTTTTTTTTTTTTTCATATTGTTTAATGGTTACAGTATCATAATTTTTAAGTTGCATTTGACTGCCTACGTTATCTTGATGACTTACAACATTTCAAAAATTGCATAATGTTCTCAGTTTAACTCTTATAAACCTATCACAAACAATCTGTTCTTCTATTATCTTAGTGTGATTTTTCCCTTGGTAAGACTTGTGCCTTTCTACCCATGTTTTATTTTGAACTTTCTGCTGTCCTTTTTGCTTTCATGAGATTCTTATTGTTGATACTCTTCTGAATTTTGAGAGTTATTTGAGGATGGAAAGCTTTTCACGCAAAGAATGATATTTTGATTTATTTTATTTTATTTTAATTTTTAGTGTATGATACACATTGTAATTTTATTCGTCACATCCATGCTTTTATAGGAGGTTGTTGGATCAATATTCTCTATTGGTGCTATTGGTTCCCTTCTTGGTGTTGTTCTTTACCAAAACTTGTTGAAGAACCACCCTTTTCGTGAAATTCTTTTCTGGACCCAGTTGTTGCATGGTTTGTCTGGATTGCTAGATTTGATACTGGTGTTACGAATAAATTTGAAACTTGGTGTGCCAGATTATTTCTTTGTGGTGATTGACGAAGCTGTTTCTCGTATGATTGGGCGTGTTAAATGGATGCCTTTTCTTGTACTTAGTACCAAGCTTTGCCCTGCTGGTATAGAAGGAACTTTCTTTGCTTTGATCATGTCAATTGATCATGTAGGGATGCTTACATCGTCTTGGGCAGGAGGCTTGTTGCTCCACATCTTGAAAGTTACAAGAACACAGTTTGACAACCTTTGGATAGCCATTGTCATCCGCAGCCTATTAAGAATTGTTCCAATAGGATTGCTGTTTTTGATACCCAGAAGTGATCCCAACTTGTCCATTCTTCCATCTGAGGTTTTGCGGACGAAAAAGGGTGACAATATAGTTGAACCGGAGAATGTGGAGATGGCCTCACTGGTCAATAGCATCTGACTGGAACTGAGATTAAGTTAAAATATCACAAAGAACATCAGCTTCTTTTGGACCAAATAGAGAATATCAACCATAAACTATCGATTATGATTCAAACTTGACTATTTCAGTTCAACTCCCATCTCTTAGCCACACAATTCAGTAACAATCTTTTACCATGTATATGCTTTTCAAGGACAACTCATTCTTCTTCCTTGCTTACAACTCCAGACACTTCCCTGGTGAATACTCTAATTAGTTGTCAATAGATTTATTGTTGGAAGTCGCCTTTGAGTTTCAAGTCATCTGTGCAAGTGCAACACCTTATTGTATTTGTATGCTCAATATCAAGGATTCAGAATTAGAGTTTGGATTGTCTTGAAACTCCAGCTTTCTTACTTGGCTGATTTCCTTCAAGCAATGGATTCAAATTGAGCATCCTTTGGAAGAGGGAACAAGATCACGAGACTCACTGGAATTCACTGTGATTACCAATTTGATGGATACTGCAGGTGTGCTTTCTTTTTATTGCTTGATTGAATTTTATCTTTTCCTATATACCATCTCTGCATGATCGTCTATCCTTCATGGAGGCTGTTGCTCTTGAGCTTTGACCATATGACTTGATTATTGTTCAACTGTATTACTAATCATAGGCATAGAATGTTGTAAAATCGTAACATTTTATCTTTCCATTATTTTTAGCCAATAACAAAATCAGGTACCAATAACCTGTTAGTCGGAGTGGAATGAGCTCGGTTTCCCTTAAGTAAGGTCTCAAATTCAAATATTGTGAATGGAAAAATAGGCATTAGGAGAGTTTCTCCCTTCTGAGGTTTGACAGGACTTAATTTTGGATTAATTGGGACCTAATATGACATTCAGAT